TCTTAAGATTTTAAAAGCAGAATGATGGTGATAATGATCAAGCAGCTGTTAGTATACGGCCATGAATAAACACTAACACACACGCACACACGCACACACACACGCACACACACACACACACGCGCGCACAAAATCTAACCTTTTAACATATTCTATCTGTTTGGTCCCTTTATATTTGAACAGTATATTTGAGAATATATGTGCATACAGTATTTAAAATAAAATTAAATGCCATTTTTTGCTTTAAAAAAAAAAAAAAAAAAAATATATATATATATATATATATATATATATATATATATATATATATATATATATATATATATATAAATTGTATATTTGTAATATTTAAATATTAGCTTGTATGTCATATATGTCATTTGCATACTTTTCCATGTATCAGATTTCTATGTGGGAAATGTGTGCGTGAGTCTAAAAAAAGAAGAAAAAAAATCCTGAAACTCAAGGGTCATGAGGCAAGACGGGTCGTGATTTCATTGGAGACGTGTGGGCAGTTGGAGACCAGTGGGAAGTTCAGGGATTACCGCTTTCATCATTTCTCAGACTAAATAAATTGAAAATGGTAAACAAACTGGTGGCATACAATTTCTGCTTGTCACCTGGTCGTGCTTGCCGGCTGCTTTATTCCTTATCAGTGGCATGCAGTTTCTCCTCAGCCAGCATTGTTTTGTGGTGAAGCGTGTTAAGGCAGCTTGCTCTGGGACCACAGTCACATGCCCTGCGGCTCAGCTGCACTTGGAGCTAATAATGGGGATTTTAACCTCTACTTCCTTTACATGCTCACAACCTTGGACAGGATGCCTGCTTCTCTCTCTCTCTCTCTCTCTCTCTCTCCCTCTCTCTCCTTCTCTCTCTTTCTCTCTCTCTCTCTCTCTCTCTCTCTCTCTCTTTCTCTGTCTCTGTCTTTTTAGCTTTAAATTTGTTAAAAGAGATATATTTACATGCCATCTCCTGGCATCTACTACACTGTATGTAAGCAGTAAAAATAAGGTTGAAAGATTGTCAGGGGAAGATGTGCTGGTAATGTTTTTAAATTTGGTGAAATTACATGTGCTGATTGATATATGTTTTTATAAATCTATATATATAATCTTGTAAACTCGTTGTCATGTTTAAGAACCCAGTCTGAGATGATTCTCACTTTATGACAAGGTGCGTTGTCCTGCTGGAAGTAGCCATCAGAAGATGGGTACACCGTGGTCAAAAAGGGATGGATATGGTCAGCAACAATACTCAGGTAGGCTGTGACGTTGTCAAAATGCTCAATTGATACTAATGTGCCCAAAGTGTGCCAAGAAAATACCCTCCGCACCATTATACCAAAACCAGCCTGAACCATTGATACAAGGCAGGATGGATGTGTGCTTTCATGTTGTTGACGCCAAATTCTCTACTATCCGAATGTTGCAGCAGACCCATCAGACCAGGCAACGTTTTTCCAATCTTCTATTGTCCAATTTTGGTGAGCCAATGTGAATTGTAGCCTCAGTTTCTTGTTCTTAGATGACAGGAGTGGCACCCGGTGTGGTCTTCTGCTGCTGTAGCCCATCTGCCTCAAGGTTCGACGTGTTGTGTGTTCAAAGATGCTCTTCTGCATACCTTGGTTGTAACAAGGTTATTTGAGTTACAGTCTGGCCATTCTCCTCTGACCTCTAGCATCAACAAGGCATTTGCACCCACAGAACTGCCGATCATTCAATAGAGATGGTTGTGTGTGAAAATCCCAGTAAATCAGCAGATTCTGTGATGCTCATATTAACCCGTCTGGTACCAATAACCATCCTATGTTCAAAGTCACTGAAATCTCCTTTCTTCCCCATTCTATTTGAACTGCAGCAGATTGTCTTGACCATGTCTACATGCCTAAATGTGTTGAGTTGCCGTCATATGACTGGCTGATTAGAAATTTGCGTCACTGAGCAGTTGGACAGGTGTACCTAATAAAGTGGCCGTTAAAAATGAGAGACTTGTAATAAAAGGCATTTTAAATTCAACCCCCCCCTCTCTCTCTCTCTCTCTTTCCTTTGGTGGTTTCAGTAGCATTCTGATTTATCTCTGGCCTCCATGCTGGTATGAATGTAAGCAAATCAAAGATTTAGAGGAAGCAGGAATGCAAATAAACGGTTAGCAAGCCTGAATAATTTGTGTGAAGCCCACAGCTCGCATTTTTAGCATTTTGCAATCTTAAGTCTGTTTATCCAATAAATGAGAGATCATTTGTGCGAATGTTCTCCAGGTTAGCTGCGTCTTTATGGCACAAACAGCTTGCTCCATCGCGCACCATGTGTCCCCGTCGCCCCTTGAGAAGCAGTCGCATCGCTCTCTCTCTCTATCCAGCCCCACTGCTTCAGCCCTGGCCAACTCTGATTGATTTCACATCTGTGAAATAAAGCTTAGCCGAAAAATCTAATTAGGTTTCACAATGAGCAAGAAAAGGGAGAAATGGCAGCGACATATGGCGTTTGCTTCGCAGTTAGTATCTGTAAATATGGATTAGACATTAAAACGATGTGGGAGAGAACGCGCAGGCTGTTTCTGCCTGCAATACCTTCTGTTCTAGAAGTCAAAGAGGATGTCGGGGAACTTGCGACAACAATAGATCAGCGTGTTTTTAATACCAATTCGACTTTGGTGCACTCCCTCTTCCCGATATGAACTGCGAAGGAAAGAGAGTTTAGCGCATGCGAATGCCGCCTGCCATTCTCCATGACACCGATAAATTGGATGTTTGATTGATAGAATTTGGCCCATCACTCTAGCCGAGCATCACAGACAGCCATTAGAGCAGGAGAACAGAGATGAATCACTTCAGCCCTGAGTCAAGTGAAATTTACGGAGCAAACATCTTCAAATACCATTTTAATGGCTTACCTTTCCCAAGGACCCCTCTCTCTCTCTCTCTCCTTAAGGCTATTTGGGCCGAGGCTTCAGAGGAGATGATTAAAAATTAATATTAGTTCAGGATTGACAGCAAACACCATTTGATGTGTGCCACAAAGGGGTTATGGAATTGTGGACTTTCGGATGGATTCATGGCCACAGGAGACCCAAGTTTATACTTTTGTGGAAAATGCTGGAGGGGATGATGAGATGGAGGGGGTGGGGTGAGGGGGTCGACTTGGCTTTGCTGGTTAGTTGGATTGCAAATAAATGGTGATGGTCGAAGTTTCATTTTCGCATTCTGATTAGCTCTTGTGCAGAATTTATGATTTCACCCCCATTTTAACCCTTGTGTTATGTGTTGAATTTGGCTTATGTGGATTACCATTTATTGATTAAGTTTCCTTTAGCTTAGTTCCTTATTTATCAGGGGTTGCCACCGCGGAATGAACCGCCAACGTATCCAGCATATGTTTTACGCAGCAGATGCCCTTCTAGTCTCAACACAGTACTTGGAAACATCCATACACACTTACATTCACACTCTATACCACACTATAGCCAATTTAGTTTATTCAATTCACCTATAGCGCATGTCTTTAGACTGTGGGGTAAACCAGAGCACCCAAAGGAAATCCATGCGAACACAAGGAAAACATGCAAACTCCACACAGAAATGCCAACTGGTCCAACAGGAACTCGAACCAGTGGCCTTCTTGCTGTGCTGTGAGGTGACAGGGCTTACCACTGAGCCACCATGCCACCTGTGGCTTACTATTTAAAAAGTTAAAGTCTTTGCACACTGAAGCAGGGTTCCCACGGGTCCTAAAAAAGTCTTAATGTCTTAAATTAAAATCCGAGAAATATCGGATTTCTAAATCATAGAGCTAATCATAGCTCGACCTAACAATGTTACTAGTTCAGACTATAGCTGAAGATCATTCGGGTGGGTTTTCACTTAATTTCTATCCTTTTAGATGAGGTTAGGCCAGGCTTGGGCTTACGCAGAAAATAAAACAGTCGAGATGCATTTCGATTAGCGCGAGAAAGTAATCAAATCATATGAGTGTTTCCCAGTGTTGGGTTGTGGCTGGAAGGCCATCCGCTGTGTAAAACATATGCTGGATAAGTTGGCGGTTCATTCCGTTGTGGCGACTCCTGATTAATAAAGGGACCACCCTGAAAAGAAAATGAGTGAATGATGAATAATAATAATAATAAAAACAATAATAAAATATAAAATAAGAATAATAAAATAATAATGAAATATGATTTTTTTTTATCATCAATTATTTAAAAAAATTAGGAATCTGTTAAAACTTGTTTTAAATTAAAACTAGCCTTTAGGCAATTAACAAACTGGCCAGCTCATTCAATTTTCCTTACACAGAATTTGGCCGTTTGAATAGTTAAAAGTTACATTTGTCTTAAAGCCTTTCTCTTACGATTATTTTTACAATTTACGATGGTATAGTAGTCAAAAATGGAACAAATGAGCTCATGTAGGGGCCAAATTCTGAGCTTTGTCAGTGGGCAGACCACCTGAACCCCCCCTGGCTACGGGCCTGACTCATATCATGCAATTTCATGTCCATGTAAACCACTTAAATAAGCACACACACAGATTGAAAGAACAGTAAAACGATAACATTAGCAGTTACCTAATTTTTCGCAAACACTTAAATAAAGTAATAATATTTGGTAACACTTTATTTTGATAGTACATTTGAGTATTAGTAGACTGTCTGCTTAATATCTGTTGATATTGCTCTTTCAACAGACATTTAACTGACTATAAGAAACTTTGCAAGTACATGTCAACTTACACTAACCCTAACCCTACGCGCAACCCTAACCCCAACCTAATAGTCCACTTGCCAACTAATTATCATTAGATTGCATGTCGATGCAATGTAACAAACGGACGATCAAAGTAAAGCGTGACCATAATAAACATATTAATAACACAAAAAGACCCAAGTTTAGTAAGCAAAAGTTAGAAAACACATTTTTTTTGTTGGTTCTGGAGAACTGCATCAAATCATAACATAAACATGCCAAATTGACCTGCAAAAGTTCATTTGGCCAAATTGTAATACCTCAACATCAACAGTCTTTGTGTCCAACTTGGGCAGCTCCTTGGTTTGACTTCTGATATAACATCTCTGGTGCTTGGCAAAGCGGATGCCCATGATGCCCTGGAAAAACACAGAAATAATTGATTAACTATTAAATCTATAGTTTAAATAAAATCAGCTGTTGACCTTACATACTCTCAGACACTCAAAGGCTTTTTAGCCGAGCGCAGATATAACACGTTATATAACTAAAGCTACAGGAATCATGTCCCAGCTAATTCAAGATTATTGGTATACGACACCAGCCAGCACAGAGGTATACCGCCGAAGCCATGATTATATGTAGGCAAAGCCCATTGATTTGCAGCACTTATGGTCTGTGTTGCGGAGCTAATCTGTTTGTTGAAGTGTGGAGCTTTTTTCCTGAAAGCCACAGCTGATGGTCTGCCATACAGAATGTGTTGCTTTACACTTGAAAAGAGAAAAAGCCATTTCAGCAGGAGCGTCTGAAGAAAGTTCTCAGTGCTTTACTGTCTGGAAGTAGTCTTGGAAAGGGAAATAAAGGCTATCGTGTTACAGACTCTTCACTCGGTAGGATAAAAACAATATCTCTGTCTGCATTCGGGAATACATTACGTAATCTTTATTTGCTGTTGTAGCATACGGCAAGTGATGCAGCCTGAGCTGAATTATTTCCAAAGCATTATTGGAATTGTTGTTCTCTCATATAACAATTTTAATTTCCAACCAAGTTCACCGGTCTATAAGGGGAGAAGCACAAAAAAAAGTGTATTGTTTGTGCCTAAAATCACTGTGACAAATTACGCTTCAATTTCTGGTAATGGCTTGCTTTTGCACGCATATCTCTTGATGAAATGCATTTATTGCTGAGCCTGGTCAACTGGAAAATGGAGAGACTCTTCATTAAAGGGATAAAAAATAGCAAAAGAATGTCATTTAAGAAAGAGTGTTGAAGTACAGCTTTCCCATTAGCCAGATTAAATGTGTGCATGCTCTGAGACAATTATTCGAATGGAAGCACTGAATGATGCAATTGGCAGAGAGGGCAAAGAAGCGGCGCTCCAATCATTGGCACGTCACTCGCGTGTAGATGCCCGCACCTGTTTCTGCCAGTGATCGCTTTGAGAGACAACAAATATTGCTTTCTGAATGCAGGTGAAGTCAAGGGCTGGCGCTAAAGCGTATTAGCGCCGAAGAATCGCTGTTAACAACATTACAAGATCTAAGATCAGACTTAATCTGTGTCTGGGAAACCGACCCTGGCCGTATACTGTTTCTGTATTAGGATGTTATAAACGGACTTTGACTTTGTTAGGAAATTCCCCCTGCTTCTTTACCGACTTTTCGTATCATCAAATGGGCGGTAAGATAGCTCATCTTGTCTTCCTGTAGGACAAACTAATCATTGTTATTCCCCACGCTGATGGACAGAGATGGTGATTATTGGGAAAATCATTTAAGCCTTACTCTCAGACACTTTTCAAACTACAGCATTTGCTGTAAAAAGGTCCCATTTGTGCATTAGAAAATGATTTATTGTATTTTATGGCAGATTTCTACGTTGGTATGCGTGAAAGGTTATTTCCATACATATATATAAAAAGGAAAATTGTGTGAAAGTTTATAAAGGAAATTAAGCCACATTGAAGTTTAGAAGAAACATAGTTGTGCGATTTTTGAAATATATGAACCATATGGATGCACTGCAAAAGCTTGAGGTATGAATTCAAAAGCTTGAGGTATGTACACTGAAAAAAATGATGTCTGCAAAATGGTTGTAAACAATTTATGTGTTGAATTAAAAAAAAAAAATAAATAAATTTACTAATGTTCAACTTAATTTGTTTGTTTAAGTTTTCCAATTTAATTGTTTACAACCATTTAACTTAAAAAAAAATCATCAACTACACTACCCTTTTTTTTTCGCCTCCCTCTCCTGAAATGTATCTTACTTCCTTTTTCTAAATGCTACCCCCAGTGACCTGTCTTCCTCTGAAAATTGTGATGTTTGTGTATGGTCGGGGGGGGGTCCAATTTCGCTATACGGAAGTGTATGTGACAAATAAAGGCCAGATTGAATTTATTAAGGATTATCAAATAGTGAATTCATTATCTGTTAAGATTTAACTCCACATTAATAAACACTAGCAAGCAGTTTATAACTGAAGCTACAAGTGCTGTATTATTGACTTATAACCACATTTATAATGTGCTTGATGATTGTTCTTTCATTCTTTGTTAATGATTTATTTTTCATTATTATATTAAGTATTGCATTATTTACAAACCAGTTATTAAAACATGGTTGTTTTTTAAGATCATTCAGAATGAGTTAGTAAATGATATATAAACTATTTAAATTAACATTTATAATTTTTATTATTCAGGCAAATACTAATAGTTAGTTTGTATGTTAATAACTGCTTTATTAAGTCAACTTCGTTTAGTTTTGTGACCTAATCTAAAGTGAGGACTTATGCTTTATAAATCCCCTATAAATGACAATTAAAGGCTCAGTTAAAAGAGGAAAAAAGTAAATAATTGACATTATGCATTTCTTTTTGTTTGAAGATACACAAATTAAACTGTATAGAATAAAAAATAAAGATAAAGATAAATAAATCTTTGCAACCTTATCTAAAATAAAATTACTGTACCGTTAAAATATCTCTAATTAACATTGAAATGCATGCTATTATAGTGTTAAATTGTTGTTTTATCCAAGTTTGTCATATTTTGACACTCCAGTTATTCAGCAATGTTTAAACAAAGATTGCAAAGATTATTGTTTATTTGATACCAAGATTTGATTTGTAGCTGCAGTTATAAACTGCTTAGTAATGTTTATTAATGTAGAGTTAATGCTCAACAAATAATAAATTCACTATTTCCTAATGCTTGATAAATGATACATAGTGTGTATTTATTATAAAGTGTTATCAAGATCTTTTAAAAATGTTTTGGAAAGAAGTCTTATACCCACGAATAGCATCTATGGCAACAATCTACTTAAAAGGAAGAGGTGCATAACTTAATATTGCACTATTGCATTTTATAAATAGTGCAAGAGTATTCTAAAAGAGACTGTAAAAATATATTTAAAAGAACTGTTTTGCACTTTAATATTTTTTGCAATGTAATTTATTCCTGGTATGCAAGCTCTTTTCAGCAGTTCTTTATCATTATGGTCAAGGTTTTATAGAGTTTTGCTTTTTCATGCAGTATTTATTTAACCAGATTTAACCCATGTCCCTGACATCACTTTATTTCATGTTGTAAATGTATTGGTATTGGAAGGTCTCTGGGTTAAACAGAATTTGATTTCTGTTTTGTGGTAAAAGCGTTTCAGCAAAAGTAATAAAGTAACTTATAAAACACTTATTAAAAAAATGTTATTTGAATGACATCAAGAATGTTGTTAAGAATTACATTGATGTAATATTAATAGTTTATGTTAGTATTCCATCTCACCTTTATTTAAGGTACAATTTTCACCATTAACAAATCATTCATCAAGACGTTTAATTTAGTAAACAACTAATTGGTTGCTTACGGATTGTATTATGTAGGATTAGTTTAGGTCTAGATTAAAATCATACTTTTAGCACTAATAAACAGTTAATATCTTCATACACTATAAAACCCAACAGTCAACTTTATGAAATGAAATGAGTGTAGCTAACTCAAAATTAACGTAAAGTTAAATCTACTCATTTGAAAAGAGTTTTGAACTCGGTGTTGAATATAATGTGTTAATTAAATATCTCATTGTTCAACTTAGAGTAAGTTCATAGTACTCATATAGATTCTTTTTATAACTCAAATGGTTTGTAGCAATTGGTTTCCTCAAACAGTTTGAGTTGCCTTAACTTATTTGGTTTTGCAGTACTCAATTGGTTTGAGTTCTCTTCATTTATTGTGTTGTACAGTGCTCAAATTGCTTTGTTTACTCAGATAGATTAAGTTCACAGTACTCATTAGAATTAGTTGTTGATCTTAAATGGTTTGTTGCAACCGGTTTCCCTTAAATGGTTTAAGTTACCTTATCTTTTTGTGTTTTATAGTTTAGGTAATAAGTAGGGCCAGACAGAATCTGTGGACATTTTTTTTGCTATTTCTGTGGGAAATTTTGTAAAAAATCTGCAGATTCATGCAGAATTATTTTGAGTGTATCAAAACCAAAAACTTAATATATGAAACAAAACATAACACCTTTTTAACTTTTATTAAACGTTTACAATGCAAATTCATCTAGATCCACTTATTTGGTTACCAAAGCAAGTCTCTCAAATAATATATCTGCTAAAAGAGTGAAATGATTACTTTACAAACTGTATTGTAAATAAACCAAATGAACGCTTTCATATTAGCCAGTATTACTACTGAAACAAATTTAAAAACTGAATAAATATAAATTTACACAAGTAAATAAATATATTTAATGATGGGCAAAAAAATCTGTGGATTTCTGCGCTCACAAATTCCATGTGGGCCTAGTAATAAGCCAGTTATTAATACATTTACATTTACATTTAGTCATTTAGCAGATGCTTTTATCTAAAGTGACTTACAAATGAGGACAAGGAAGCAATTTACGCAACTATAAGAGCAACAATGAATAACAATGAATGCTGTAGGCAAGTTTCAGGTATGTAAAGAAGGTGTAAGAAGCAAAACATTAGTTTTTTTTTTTTTTTTTTTTTTTTTTGCAGTAGCTAGTGGAGGAGCCAGAGAGGGAATTGCAGATTAGTAAGGAAAGTGGAGGCTAAATAGTGAAGATTATAATAGTGTGAATTGTTACTTGAACTAAAGTGTTACCCATAATTATTCTGAAAGATCTACCCTCCATTATTAGAATAAAACAATTTAAGGGGAATATGAAAGCCAACACCTGTCACTTTTGGTCAGTTTAATGTATCCTTTGCGGAATAAAACTATTTTGTTAAAAAAACATGACAGACCCCAAACTTTTGAACGACAGTGTCTATGCAGTGATCCCTGGACCGTAAATAAATGTAATGGAAATTCACGGCTACCTTGCATTGCAGTAAAATATATGACTAGATTATTCCCTTTCCTGCTGAAGGACACTTTATGGCTTTTGCTTACTCTATGCGATGCGTCTCCTTGGCTTTGCCTATAAGCTGCTGTTGTGGAATTCTCATCATTACTTTTAAGTTTCTGGAGGACGCCGAGAGTGCTTGTCTAAAACAATAGAGAGAGGATTTTGCCCGTGTTTCTCTTGGCATTACCGCTGCATTTCCATTCATGGGCTGTAGCCTTCGGCTCTGTGGAGATGGTTTGTAGTTTTAGTGTGTGTAATGACTTGCAACATCCCTCCTTCACAAAAATCAATTCCAAAGTCTGCCCTGAGCCAGAAGTTGCAAGAAGTGCTGAAGAGGGCTCGCTGCTCCTACTCCCCTTTCATTTATATCAACATGTGATTTGAATGATTTTACCTATTCACTTGTTTTCTGGTTTCCCATGGCATTGCCTTGAATGAAACTAATCTCTTTTGTGGCTTTGCTCCACTGACCATAGTAATTTAGAAAGAAGATGGGGCCAGCAACAAGTGTGTCTGAATGCTGATGTGAGATGTCATCGCTGCCAGTTTGCTTTTGCTTAGCGCAGTGTTTTTCAGAGATTCAATATCATCAGTTGGAGAGAAAAAGAAAGAAAAAAAGCTCTGTCTGTATTTTGACAGCAGTTCTGCAGGAATCTGAGTCGACCCTCTCGCATAGCAATGAAAATATTTCATGTGTATGTCATAAATCCTTACGTTCTTGAAGTCGTGCACCTCCAGGACCTCGTCAGTGCCGTTTCCCATCCTGAAGATCTCGATGCGCTCAGATGGATGGATTTCCATCATGCCCTCGGTCTCTATTCCATCCAGCACAGCTTTATATTGATGATCATACACCTGTTCAGACACACACCCAACATGTTAAATTGAAACAAACAGTGTTACTTAAATATCCATAGTAATACTAAACTGATGTTATTGCATGAGGTAAAAAAATTAATTGACATTTACAAACAGATGACATTAGGGCTTTTGTCAGATTCAGGCCCAATCCCAATTCTACCCCTTTTACATATACATTATAAATTCAATTCTACCCCTTAACATAACATATGCCTTCAATGATTTCCTGAAGATAAAAAACCAAAACATAACACAACTGGAATAACTACAGCAGTCGCCATCGTCTGATCTCACATGAAGCTAGAGATTGCGATGACATATGATGACGTGTGCAGGTGCTGTAGTGCTGTCCCAATTCTTAGCGGTAAATTTTGAAGCCTTTCCCCTGCACCCTCGAGTTTCAGGGCCAAGGGGAGGGGTAAGGGGTAGGGGTACAAAAATAGAATTGGGATTGGGCCTTATATTTTTAGCTAGCTAGTGTCAAGGTAAATGTATGAAGTTCTGCTCACAGGTAAAGTTCATTACACTGTTGCTATTAAGCCTCATTCACACTATGAGCGACTTGCAATGGTAAAGCAACAGGCTTTCTGGCGACCTCTGTCTACGCAAGCGACCATATATACACTAGATATCGCATACGGACCCTGAGTATGCATTAATAGCCCTGCCACATTTGTACAATGCTCCCAAGATAAAAGTCATTCAACCGCACTAGTCCAGACTAAAGCTAATCTGAAGATGCTGGACTTCAGCGATGTGTACGGCTGTAGTAACGAGCAAACAAAGCATAAATGCAGAACATTTCATAGGTAAGATTTAATTTTTTTATGCTTTTGTATTTTACAAACTTTTGTGTTAAACAAGTAACATTATTGATGATAATACGTCACTTACTGTATTGACCATAAGGCAAAGTAGCACCAACTTGCTCTAAATACAATGTAAATTAAATATGACAACAAGACTCTGCGGTGGCAGAAACTTGTATTATTGTCAGCTAAGTGAAATAACGGCTAGTCTTTAAAGTAACTTATAAAAGAGCCTGATAACATAACAGTGCCTGTGCCTCAATGTAAATACTGTCCACCCTAAATTATTGAATATTACAAATGATATATACAATTTAGAAAGGTAAATATGCTCATTGACACTCAGGGATATTGATGGTTCCAGCCTGATCTCACGAGAAAACGTAAGTATTTTACGTTTTGCCAGTTTAGTGACTAAATCGTACAAATTCGTACAAGTTCATTCGTACGAAATCGTATGATTTTAAAAAGGAGGCGTGGCACCTAACCTCGCCCCTAAACCCAACCGTCATTGGGGGGATGAGCAAGTCATACTAAATTGTACAAATTAGATCGAACGAACTCATAGGAATTAGCCACTAAATCAAAAAGTTACGAATTGCCGTGAGATTGTGTTGGATGGTTCACACGAGTCATTCATAACAGAGATTCATTCACAAATGAATCTTATCCTCTGTTAGAATTGGAAGTGAAAGCAGGAGAGGGAGTGTGTTTCAGGACACAGATTAAATCACATTTAACAGGAGTTCTGTTCAAAGAGTTCTGTTCTGTGCACAGCGGTGGCGCAGTGGATAGTGCTGTTGCCTCACAGCAAGAAGGTTGCTGGTTTGAGCCTCAGCTGGGTCAGTTGGTGTTTCTGTGTGAAATTTGAGGTGAAGCAGTGACGCAGTAGGTAGTGCTGTTGCCTCACAGCAAGAAGGTCGCTGGGTCGCTGGTTCGACCCTCGGCTCAGTTGGCGTTTCTGTGTGGAGTTTACATGTTCTCCCTGCGTTCGCGTGGGTTTCCTCCGGGTGCTCCGGTTTCCCCCACAGTCCAAAGACATGCGGTACAGGTGAATTGGGTAGGCTAAATTGTTCGTAGTGTATGAGTGTGTGTGTGGATGTTTCCCAGAGATGGGTTGCGGCTGGAAGGGCATCCGCTGCATAAAAACTTGTTGGAAAAGTTGGCGGTTCATTCCGCTGTGGCGACCCCGGATTAATAAAGGGACTAAGCCGACAAGAAAATGAATGAATGAGGAGTTCTGTCTTTTATCCATCGATATAGAAAATGTAAAATTATAATTTTTGTAAATCAAAAAAATATTCGTATAATGACCACTGGAAAGATTCTTGATCATAGATGTATGTATATATGTTTACATATCTATGGTTCCAGATGGCCAATCCTCCACTGCACCTTGGTCCCACATTCATTTCAAAGGAGCACTACCCTGTACTAAAATGGTGGCTCTATTGACACATTTCTTCCAATAGACAACAGTAGCGTAGGCAACATCTAATGTAAATATCTATGGCGAGCGACAGCGACTAGGTGGGCATGTCTAGCAATGTGACAAAGTTCAGAATCCCTCATGCAAATGAAGATTGATTTTCTTGAGCCAAGCCAATAGAAGCACCAGTAGAGCTCATGTGATCCTTGCACAGTTCTGGATGTTTTCTCCATGCTGTAGACATACACAGACCTGCATTTGCAGCAGGTCACCACCCAGAGCGATAGGCAGCTATAAGTTGCTGCTAGTGTGAATGATGCATAACCTTCTTATCTTGGTGTTGTTGCACTGCTTTATTGGGTGCTCTATAATGGATGTTTGAAGACGTATCCAGGAATGGTCTCTTGATTTTAATTAATAATGTATTAGTTTTTCATTAAGGTCATCCATTGGTACCTTAAAATGATCCAACATTTTTTTTTTTTTTTGTCTGACATAATTATTATAGATCAGCCAGACCAATGGTTAACACACTTTGCATCAGTGAGTGCAAAACTTTTTCAGGTTCTGCTGACCTTTTTTTTATTCTTACAGTATATATATATTTAGGCATATCCAAGTGTCTCAATCCACTCCTTTGCTCTCAAGGAATGAGTAGGTCATGTACTGTACATGCATTCAGGCAATGGTAAGGACAGATTAGGTTAGTGCACTAGACATTTTAACATGTGTGTGTGACAAAAAGTACACTAAAGCAACATTAAAACTGGAATTTATCAATAACAACATAACTGATATTATATTTTAATTTTAGACACTATAGATAATTAATTAGATGTTTAATATACCAGCAACATTTCAACCAAATATTTAAAAATGTTTGCTACTTTGTTCTGTATTAACTATTCTCATTTGTGGTTAAATATAAATGGTTAACAGTTAAAAAAAAAAAATACTTCTTTTGTTATTAAATTTGTGGCTTTGGTTCACGTGAGTCATTTTCATTGCTTCAAAATTCGGTTAAGGGAACATAGTGAGCATCAATGCTCCATGATTTTCACAGTACACTGTGGGACTTTCAGACAGTGAACGCTTCAGTGCACTGGGAGAATTTTGTGATTGAGACAGACCTAAAAAAGGATAGTGCAGCCAAAATCTAAATTCTGTCATCATTTACCATCCCTTCAAACCTGTTTGAGTTTCTTTCTTCTGTTGAAACCAAAGAAATCTGGAAACCTTTAACCATTGATTTCCACAATATTTGTGTTACTACTATTGCAGTCAATGAACTATCCCTTTTAAATGGTTGACTCAATGACCAGTGCCTGGCTATTAAACAAGGGAGCTGTTATGGAAAGCTGTTAACATGAAAATGATCCATATTTTGGTAAAACACACACAAAAAAAATACAAACATAAAACTAAGCAAAAAAAGTACTGAACTACTGAAATGTATTTAATACTTTAAATAAAAGGATTTTTAAGGACGGCAGCTTAAAGACGCTCACATGAATTGCTCAGACTTCAACAGAGGGTAACAATCTTGATGGTTTTTTGGGTCTCATATATCCAATCTGATCTTTATTTTAAATTTTAAATTGGATTCAAGTCAGGTGTTTGGCTGGGCCAATCTACAGCTTTTTAACATGTTGATTTTCTTTCTCTGAAACCATTTGAGGGTATCCTTGTCTGTGTTGTGGATCATTGTCTTGCTGAAATGTCCACCCTGGTTTCCTCTTCATCATCCTGCTAATGTAGATGTTGGACTGGAGCAGCGAATATTAACTTACAATGACGAAGGGCAAGGGGTTGCTGAAAAACTACCGAAAGATTTCAGCTGCTGTCTGGGCTTTCACTGCCTTTCTACACCTTTCTTTCTTCATGTGTTCAATACTTTTTTTCTTGTGTCATTTTATTTGATTACACACAACTTAATTTTTAACCTAATTAGTTTTGTTTTCTTTGCATGAATGAATTTATTTGATCATTATCAACATGCGGTGAAAATTTCATGTCAACAGCACCTTTAGAAATATGTTTTTTTGAGAAAAAATGTGAATTGTTCAATATTTATTGTTACCTGCTGTATATTTAACTGGCCTGGTTTCTTATTAACAGCACAATCATACTGTACTTTTGTCAAAGCCAGTCTTTGCACACGTTTGCTCAGGCTTGACAGGCAGCCTAACTATCCTCTATTAATGAATGCAATCTTGCAGATGCCCTCAGTTGCCATAAATATGCTTCAAGTAGATTCCAGCAATGTCTGATTTGTCTTGATTGTCTCAGAAGCATTATATGGCTTTTCCCTGTTGCCAGGCCTTGCAGCGCCGCTGTTTATCTCAGCGCTTTCTTAAATGCTGTTTTTGGGCATGCATGGGTGGCTCCTCTCTGTCTACAAAAATGATTCATGCCCACCAGCAAAAAACCTTGCTATTAATATTTATGTGTGTGTTGTGTTATGATGAGAAATTACACTGCTGAGCTCAACCTCATCTGTCTCAGTCGCAGTTCTGAGTAATACGTTATGCTTAGACATAAGGCAAGAGATGCACGCTCACAAATATAATACTACATTAAGATTAATGTCACAAATCAACGCATTTTCTGATTATTAAAGTGCTTTATGCAGTGTAGCATAGAGCAGTAAACACATCATTTAATATCGACTTGTTTGTCGGCTCTGTTTTGGAGAGCATAATGTATTGAAATTAGCTTCAAAGTAACTTCTGCACGGATCTGAATTTGTATTAATC